TGGGTTGTGAACTTGTGATGGGTGTTTGGTTTTCTGTTTGTCTGTAGTAGTAACTCTGTGTTTTTATGGTTTTCACTAATCCGTAGCCTTTATGTATGCTTGGTGAAATAAGTCAGGTTCAGAATATAATGTTTGGTCTGTTTTAAAGGTATTGAGAATTTTGTCCTTCTGGGATTATTAATGGTGTTTTTTTTTTTCTGTAGCTTTATGTGTGTTTGTTGAATGTTTAAACAAGAGAAGAAATAAAGAAGTCCCTGTAAATTGCAAAAAGCCAAACTTGCAGGGGAGAATTTCACAAATAAGTCAATAAGTCAGAATTTCAAGAACACAACAGATTTGCATACTAAGAAATAAACAAACTGATTTCTAATCATTTGTTCTGAAAATAAGCTAAGCTTCATTCACATAGTGAAGAGACTGAATGTGTTTGTTTCCCAGTAAACAGATGTACATCTGACCAAACTATGTGCAGATAGGAAGAGAAAGAGAAAAAGAAAAAAAGAACAACAAATAACATTGAATGTGGTGTCGTTTTCAATCACCAGTCAAAAGTCAACATATTTTTCCACGTCCGTTCGATTATCTCAAGCTCTGCCAAACCCCCATTGGAGAGAGGCTCTGACTAGCCTGGATGTTAGATTGAGTTATCGAGCTGCCAAGTGTAGGGTCTTGATCGCCCGACATGTCCCGATCCTCCACAGCTTTGTTTTTCGGCTTTGGTGTGGAAGGCATTATAGTCCCAGCAATCACCTACAATAATAATCCATAAATCAAGGAACATTAATCAATTATAAATTCAGTTTTTTCCTTTTTTTTTTTTCTTTTGGCAAGAGTATAAAGTCAAGTACTTTAATTAGTATGATGATTGAATGCTGAAGTAAGTTAAATTTGTACCTGAACAGGGCTAGCAGCAATGAGAATTCCCTCGACTGGGCCGCCTATGAGATGGCCATCAGAACCGGCAAAAGTGATGTTAAGACAACCAATAGGGCCGTGAGGCCCATCAACATCATTGATGTAAGAACCAGATAAAGTCACCATATCAAAATGCCCCTACAGAAAAATATTCCACCTTCTAAAATTCAAAGAAAAGGAAAAAATGGGAATGTTTAATTTTCATGAATAGAAATATTATCTCATCACCAGTGTCCTATCATTTTTTTTTTCCTTTAGTAAATATGAAGTATGATAATACGAGTATCTAGAGCTTACACCTCATATGTTACACTCCCAGTAGAGCTCGAGCTTTTGATGTTGACAGCTGCAATGGAACCGATGCCCGACAAGACAACTAAGGCTCGACGTCCTTGCAGAAGTGAAAGTACCTTTCTTTTGATGTCCTAAATGAGAAGTAGCAATATGAAAAAAGAATAAAACTCTCGCTTAAACCATTTCGAAATACATGTGAATACTTTGTTTCCGTGCTAATATTATTAGAAATTTTACTAAAACTCTTTCCATCTCGGACTTACCACATCATTAACGATTTTTTATCAGGGGAAAAAAATGCATCGAAAAGTTATTAGGAGATGAACATACTTCTCCAACTGCAATGTTGATGATATGCGGAGTCATTGTTCCAGTTGTGTTAAACATGGATCCACCTGAATAATTAATTAGTTCTTTCAAAAATCAGTCAAATAGATATACTTTAATTTATTTTCAGTACTTGTCAAACAACACACTATCAGAGAATGATATCAAATCACTTGAGAGGTTGATATGATGGCAGAAATGTTCTGCAAGGAGGCTTCACTGGATAGTACTGGCTCAAGTTATTTGATAACTGAATCACAAAAATTGCTGAGCTCCAAACAGAACACTAACATTCATCCTTATTTTCTGTCCCTTTTCTTTTCAGATTTGTTTGAAGTAATGCCTAGAATCTTTTTCTAGTGGATTTAATGCCAAATAACCAAATAAGAAAAATGTTCATCAGAAAACTACCGAATTAGTACTTTTCAAGGGCACACACACACTTGGTAGCTTTTTATTACTTAGATGTTAGGCTTCAGTTCATCTTCCTGTTTTGTGATTATATTACTACAAGAAGCAAGATATAATGAGGAGAAGTTATGACCAGAGAGTATTTCACAAAACCGGAAAAGTGTAACAAGTTCAAAACTTATTTCAAATAGCGAAGGCAATAATATTAAATGCATGCTACCTATGAACCACAGCTCTCTCTTATAGCCTCTTTACAGCATGGAGATCACAAGAATATAGTGAAATTCACATGCTCAAAACACTATATCCATTCATGAAATCGATAAAAACCCATCGATCAATACACGGAAGGCCAAAATATTAAAAGAACCAACGAATAATCTATCATAAG